TCCTCCGCCTGCTCACTCACCTCCTGCAGCCCACGTGTCTTATCCTCGTCCTCCGCACGCAGCTGCTCGTTCTCCGCACGCAGCTCCTCCAGCTGCCGCTGCAGATCCTCCGCCTGCTCGCTCACCTCCTGCAGCCCACGCGTCTTATGTTCGTGCTCACCGCGCAGCTCCTCGTTCTCGGCACGCAGCTCCTCGTTCTCCGCACGAAGCTCCTCCAGCTGCCGCTGCAGATCCTCCGCCTGCTCGCTCACCTCCTGCAGCCCACGTGTCTTATCCTCGTCCTCCGCACGCAGCTGCTCGTTCTCCGCACGAAGCTCCTCCAGCTGCCGCTGCAGATCCTCCGCCTGCTCACTCACCTCCTGCAGTCCACGTGTCTTATCCTCGTTCTCCGCACGAAGCTCCTCCAGCTGCCGCTGCAGATCCTCCGCCTGCTCGCTCACCTCCTGCAGCCCACGCGTCTTATGTTCGTGCTCACCGCGCAGCTCCTCGTTCTCGGCACGCAGCTCCTCGTTCTCCGCACGAAGCTCCTCCAGCTGCCGCTGCAGATCCTCCGCCTGCTCGCTCACCTCCTGCAGCCCACGCGTCTTACCCTCGTCCTCCGCACGCAGCTCCTCGTTCTCCGCACGAAGCTCCTCCAGCTGCCGCTGCAGATCCTCCGCCTGCTCGCTCACCTCCTGCAGCCCACGTGTCTTATCCTCGTCCTCCGCACGCAGCTGCTCGTTCTCCGCACGAAGCTCCTCCAGCTGCCGCTGCAGATCCTCCGCCTGCTCACTCACCTCCTGCAGTCCACGTGTCTTATCCTCGTTCTCCGCACGAAGCTCCTCCAGCTCCCGCTGCAGATCCTCCGCCTGCTCACTCACCTCCTGCAGCCCACGCGTCTTATGTTCGTGCTCACCGCGCAGCTCCTCGTTCTCGGCACGCAGCTCCTCGTTCTCCGCACGCAGCTCCTCCAGCTGCCGCTGCAGATCCTCCGCCTGCTCGCTCACCTCCTGCAGCCCACGCGTCTTATGTTCGTGCTCACCGCGCAGCTCCTCGTTCTCGGCACGCAGCTCCTCGTTCTCCGCACGAAGCTCCTCCAGCTGCCGCTGCAGATCCTCCGCCTGCTCGCTCACCTCCTGCAGCCCACGCGTCTTATGTTCGTGCTCACCGCGCAGCTCCTCGTTCTCGGCACGCAGCTCCTCGTTCTCCGCACGAAGCTCCTCCAGCTGCCGCTGCAGATCCTCCGCCTGCTCACTCACCTCCTGCAGTCCACGTGTCTTATCCTCGTTCTCCGCACGAAGCTCCTCCAGCTCCCGCTGCAGATCCTCCGCCTGCTCACTCACCTCCTCCAGCTGCCGCTGCAGATCCTCCGCCTGCTCACTCACCTCCTGCAGTCCACGTGTCTTATCCTCGTTCTCCGCACGAAGCTCCTCCAGCTCCCGCTGCAGATCCTCCGCCTGCTCACTCACCTCCTGCAGTCCACGTGTCTTATCCTCGTTCTCCGCACGAAGCTCCTCCAGCTGCCGCTGCAGATCCTCCGCCTGCTCACTCACCTCCTGCAGTCCACGTGTCTTATCCTCGTTCTCCGCACGAAGCTCCTCCAGCTCCCGCTGCAGATCCTCCGCCTGCTCGCTCACCTCCTGCAGCCCACGTGTCTTCTCCTCATGCTCTCCGCGCAGCTCCTCGTTCTCCGCACGCAGCTGCTCGATCTCTGCGTGCATTTCTTCAAGCTGGAGCTGTAGGTCCTTGGCGTGCTCATATACCTCAATGATCTCTTGTTTTTTTTGTTCTATTAATTTTTTAAGTGTTTTGTTTTTGTTGTTTATTTCCTCCATCTGCTCCTCCATTTTTTCTAGTTGTGTTTTATACCCGTGATTTTCCTTATCTCTCTTTTTGTCTTGCTGTTGGAGTTGTTTTACCTGTTCCTTGCTTTGTTGTAGTTGACGCGACATTTCTTGCTGATTTTTAATTTTGTTTTCGATTTGCTGCTTGTGATAGTCTTCCTGTTTTTTTGCAAGTGTTTTTTGTTGTTCAAGCTCTTTCTGAAGTTTGTGTAATTCTTCCTCCAGATTTTTGAATTGTTTTGCTAGATCATTGTTTTGACTATATACATTGTCCTTTTCTTGTTGTAGTTCCTGAATCAACTTTGTTTTGTCGGTATTTTTCGCTTCTAGCCTCGCTCGCTCCTCCAGTGCGCTGCCTAAGGCTGCATAGATTAGCGGGCGGTGCATGGCCGTCCTGGAAGTGAGACGTTTGGCCTCCTCCTTTCCGACGATGACAGTTCCGCTGCCTTTGCCCGGAATTGCTGCTGTTATGGATGAGCGGGGAACGGTGATTGGTGCGATGTCACTTGCCTCCGCAAAGCTGAGGCACGCATCGCTGTCGGCTTTGTTGCAATTAACTACATTGTTACCCTCCTTGTAGAGATGTTGTTGTTCAATGATTTGACTGATTTGTGTTTCAAGCAACTTCATTGTGCGAATGTTGTTGTTTATTGCCTCACTGATTTCTTTTGCGCGCGCCTGAGACTTTTTTATCTCGGGATAAACAATAATGAACCCCAGTTGGGCGAGTGCCCAGTCGCAAAACACGGACTCAAGTGAAACAGAATTGGCCGAAACAATTCTCCGTGGGGAGAGCCGTACCTGTTCCTGCAGCTTGAGGAGCCTTGGCTGGTAGCGGTTGATGATGTCCTGGTGCTCGTCCATGCTGTTCTCGACGGTCGGGTAGTACTCCAGCAGCCTCGTGATGAAGTCGGGGTGACGCACGACGGCGCGCAGGTCCTCCCACCCCATGACGACGTCCTCCATGCTCTCTTGGTTCAAAATGGCGATGCTTGCCTCAAGCGCCAGGCAAAGTCCCGCTGAGGGGAGGCGGCTGCTGAAGGCCTCGTGCAGCCGCACCTCCTCCACCTCCTCCAAAAGACGACGCGCGTCTTCAATTTTATCCTTCGCCCGCGCCACCTCCGCCTCTGTGTCGCGTCGCACGGTTGCCAACTCCTCGCGCTGCTGCAGCAACGAGCGCCGGCAGTTCCGCACCTCCTCCTCTTTTAGCTCCTTCTCCTGCTTGAGTGTTTCAAGGATGTCGGCGTTGCTCCCATTTTCTGCCCGCCACCGCTGGAGCAGGGCGTGGTGGTCGCTGAGGCTTAGCACCCTCGCAAGCGACCAGTGGGCGGCGAGGTTGTTGTCGAGAAACTCGTACGCGACAAGGCTGTCACAAAGCACGGGCTCGTCAATTCCTCCCAGGAATGACGCAATGCCCTGGTGCATCTCCTCGGCGGATATTGACGTCGTCTCACCCGGCGCGGGTGTTCCCCGCGCAAGCATCTTCGCAGGTCGCATGCAAACAGCAAAATAAAGGTGCCGCAACAAGTCAAGCTCTCACAACACCAACAACCACAACCACAATCGCAGGTAGTCCCTTTGTGCCTGCAATTTGGCAAAAAGTTGTTGGTTGTTGTTTTTGTTGTTGTTGTTGTTGTTTCTACTATTTTTTTGGATTTATGCTCGGCGAAATGCCCCTTCAATTGCCCTCTCCGTCCCCTCTTTTTCTCCCCTTTTTTTCTTTTCTTTTTTTTTCTTTTTTCAGTCGGCTGTCTTCGCTCTCTCGCACCGGCACTTAGTTGTGGCAGTAGTAGTAGTAGTACCCTAAGCCCGGAAAAAAAGACGGTCGTACAAGAACCTAAAAAAAAAGAAAAAAAAAGAAACGCATACACAAAACAAAAAGGAAATTAAAACAAATAATAATAATAATAATAATGAAGCCTATCAATTTCTCCAGTCTATTCCTTTCTTTACTTTCCACCCCACTCGTGTCCCTCTCCGGTGTGTTTCTTCTTTTGTGCTCCCTTTTTTTTTTCCTGCTTTTTGTGTGTATATAAATTTGTGTGTGTGTGTGTGTGTGTCTACCACGCCCCACCCTGCTCGCTCCTAATAAGCACACAAAATATAAAACGGGAAAACCCCCCAAATGGTTTTGCTTTTTCCCTCTCCCCTCTGTTTTTTTTTTTTTTTTTACTTTACTTTACTTTACTTCCTCCGCCTCTCGCTCTTCTCTCCTCCAGACTGTCAGGGAATGTGGCGCAACCTCGGCGACAGCAGTGGCGGCGTACGTGTATTTATACGCAAACAATCTGCAGATGTGTGCACGGCTGCCCCCTTCTGCCGCAACGCGTGGAGCAATGCGCACAAACAAGGAGTCGGGCACCCCTTATTTCCTTCCCTTCTCCCTCAAGCCAAAGAAACCCACACACACACACCAACAACAACAAAAAAAAAAAAAAAAAACAGAAGGACGGACACGTTGGCAACAGGAGACACAACAGCGAAAAAAATGGGGTGAGTTTTGGGCAGGCAGAAGACGCACGGAGGGGACACGTCCCGTGGATGAAAACAGGAGAAGGAGGAGAAAAACAACAACAGAAGCAACGGATAAGGGGACACAAAAATAAATAAATGGGGCAGCGGCCGATTAACGATTTACCCCAACTAATATCCCACTGTGTCTGTGTGTCGTGTGCAATTCATGAGAAAAAGGGGAAGCAAGAAGAAAAGAAGGATGGGGAGGGAAAAAAACTCACCACAATGCCACACATTTATGCACAGTAGAAAATGTTAGCCGTGGTGGTGGTAATGGTGGTCTCCTCTTCCTTCACCTCAAACTCCCCCGGTAGGCTTCTGCCTCCTCAAGCCCCCCGATGTGCTCCTTTCGTCTCCCCCTGAAAACCTGCGGCGGCACCACACACACACTGATAGAGAGAGAAGTAGAAGGAGAATGTGTGTGGCAGGCACAAACAACGCCCCTCGCTCAATTACAGCAAAAGCCAGAAAACAAACAAACAAACAAAATAACAATAATAATAATAACTCACTCCCGTCCTTTCTTTCTACTCCATTGCGGGGTCCCACGAGGGTCAATGGCATTTGGCCTTGCCACCCTACTTGCGGCGAATCCCACGTATGCACACAACCGACACAATAGCCAACATCTACAGCAATCAAAAATAAATAAATAAATAGGCCTCACATCTCTGGCGGGTGGTGGGTGGCAAAGACGTGAAAAGGCTCAAAGTCTTCAAGGAGCGGATTGAATCCGCTGCGTGTCGTGAAGAGCGCCGTCTTGTCGCCGCCAAATGTCTTCCAAAACTGCGGGTGGGTGAGACTTGAAATATCCTTATGTGCCCCGCAGATGTTACGGTAGACCACCGCCAGGTGCTCAAAGTCCGTGGGGAAACAAATGTCAACCATGCCGGCGTTGCCATGCAGCGAGTCGGCGGGGCGGCGAAGGTACATATCCTTCGCCACACGTACTTTGCACTGACACACTGGCCCGTTAACACCTGGCAAGGCCTGCCGCACGCCTGACCAGTCGACAAGAAAAAGATGGTGCCTAGGGAAGAACGCGGCGCATGTCTCCAGAAAAAGCATTGCGACGGTTGGAAGCCAGAGGGTTCGAAATGGGCTGTGAGTCCAGATAACCTTTGTCATGATAACACGCAGAGGGTCATTCATGTTCGGTTCAATGCTGGTAAAAGGAGGCGGGTCGATGTTTTCACGCCCGCCCGTAAGACACAACACCTTGAGACTATGAAATGACTCCTCTTGTAGCCAACGCAGGTAACGCAGGTAGCGAAGAATAACAGGGTCCTTCAAAGCGTAGTAGCGTTCATGTACAGTGGAAAGATTGTCATGTTGCTGAAAACCAAACCAGTGTTCGTTACAAACACCATCGCCGCTAAGCAGGACGCAATCATGTGGCATCCCAGAGAGAAGCTCAACTCCCAACAAAACGCAGCGACGCCGTTCCAATTGACGCCAATTAAGAATGGAAATGTTATGTATTTTGACATGATGATAATGTGTGATGAGACGGTTACGAAGCACCTGCACGAGCTGAGGGTTCTGCTCCACCACGTGGTATTCACACTGCGCATATACGGCTGAAAAGTGCTCCGCGAGGTAATCCAGCACACTCACCGCCAGGGCCCCTGTTCCTGCTCCAATGTCGTACACAACAAGCGGCTCACGGGGGTCAAATTTCGCCCGCATCATTGTCACAAGGTATTCCGCCAGCACCCAACCGTAGTGAGGCTGAAACAGTTGCGTTGGTGTGATGCAGGCAGGAGTTGATTCGTGAATCTTGCCAACATAAAGCTCATAGTCATGCTGGTTCCGAAGACTGGCAAACGGCACGGGATCAAAGTAACCGCTTGTCATGAGTTGCCTGTACTTGCGATGCAACTTCGGATAATAGCCCCACTTCTTGTGGTAGAGAGCGAAGTGAATAAAGTCGCGCATGATGAGCGAGGTGCCCAGTGAGTCGTGGTCGGCGAGTGCCCCGCCCTCAAAGACAATGAGGTCCTCAAAGAGTTTTTTGTGCCGCGCCACACGTCGTTCTTCTTCCTGAGTCGCAAGTTCGTCCAGTCTGGACTCAGACATGACGTGGCTCCCGGAGGACACAATCGACGGCATGCCTCCTTGGGCAGTCGATAAGGAGGCGTAATGAACTGCGGCGACGCCGTCATGATGTGAAGCAGCCGTGGCATCATTTGTTGTTGCTGCTGCAGAAGAGGAAGTGCCAGTGTCCACCAGTGCTTCATGGCCATGGGAATTGCAGGAGGGAACAAGTCCGCCCCCGTCACTATCACCCCCATCGGTGCCGTTGCTATTGTTATCGCCACCACCACCACCGCCGCCAATCTTTGTACTAACGCTGCCGGTGGCAGTCGCGACATGCCGGCAGCTGGGCGGCAACGCCGCACCGCGCGTTAGACCGCCGCAGCCGCAGAGAAGCCGCCCCAACGGCGGGAGAAGACGCATACAAAACGCCCCGCCCCTCCTTTATTTTAATTATTTTTTCCCTCTCCCCTTTTTCTTGACTGAGTGCTTGTTTGTTTTTGTTTGATTAATGTTCTTCTTTCCTTTTCTTCTGTGTTTTTCGTTTTGAATGCCTGTGTTCCTCCTTCTCCCGGCCCTCCGCCAGTTATGAGCAGCAACAGCAGCATTGCAATACCAATTCCAGCGCCGTCCGCAGCAGGAGCAAGAAATAAAAAAAAAGAATGAGAATAATCCGTGCGTTTGTGTGATTGTGTCTGATGCGCACGTCTCCCTTCCGTACGACTTTAGTTTTGTTGTTTTTTGTTTTGTTTTTTTTTCGTCCTTCCACTTTTTTTTTTTTATTCATTTCAACAGTTCGTTTGCATACACGCTGCACGCACGCAGAGAAATGCGGCCATGCACAACAGCAGTAGTCACAAGAAAAAGATGATTCCCCACTCCCACCCACCTCCCTCTTCCTTTCACTTCTCGTGAGCGACGGAAGGAGCAGGTGTCATGTTGCGGAAAAAACGTCATCTCTTCTTCTCTTCGGCATGTGACGAACAGGTGCCTGCTCACAAACGCAATAAGTTGCGTTCCCATATCCGGGAGCCGACTCCACCCCGCCCGCGTATCACACATCCATATCCACAGACTGCTCCCCCGCCCCCCTCTCTCTCTTTCTCTCTCCTCATAAAAGAGCCAGAGCGAGTCAGTCATATTTGGGTGAAATGGGTGCCATTTCATGTGCATCACTTGGATAAGGTTCCTGGGGGCCATGGGCGGATGGCCACGTGGGGTCCGCGGGAAATGGTGGTGCACTACAGTTGTCGTTGATTTGAGGAGTGTTGCTATTCTCCATTCGTCTTCGCTTGTACTTGCGGAAATCTCGACGTTTACGGATGGAGAGACACGCGCAGAGGCCGTAGCCTTCGCCACCATTCGCCTCCTGCATTTGCTCCTGTAGGCCCCTTAAGCGTCGTCTTTCGCGTTTTTTCTCACGCTTTTCTACCATGTGCTGATACGTTGTCCGGTGAGTGCAGCAGAGATACAAGTGAAAGACTATGAGATGTCCGAGAACGCACATTCCCACTGTGCACAACGCTACGGTAATAAAGAGAAACAACAAGAAGACTGCGTAGTTGCTACTTTTATAGCGGTGCTCCAGGAGATCCTCGTACTTCTCCCTCGCCAAAATGGCATCCACAATGATGTACAACCCAATCGCCAAAATGAAGGCCATGCCACACCACGCCGATCCCATGAAAGCACAAAAGGCCTTGTAGTTTTCTGCACCTACACATGAATTTAACCAGCGGCAATGATGATCAAATCCGGGGACACACTTGTCACAAACCCCGCAGTGTTTGCTGCCGGCCTGCACAAAACGACGGCAGAAGACGCACGGCTCCGTGCCAGGTGGCGCGGCCTCTTGCGTTAGTCCTGTCTGCTCCAGCCGCGGTAAATCCGTGCGAAATATAACAGGATCCTCAATGTGGCTAAGGGATAGCGAGACCTTCAACGCGATTGTGACCGTGAAAAGCACCCCAGAGATTATTGAGACAACAATCATCAACGTATTCTCCAAAAACGGCACATGCAGGGTGTAGTGCAGGATGGCCAGCAATATAATAAAGGACCATGCCACAATCTGCAATAAATCTAACGGGCACTCAAAACCAGAACGTCGCGGCCGTACCGGGTCGCCGTATACATCTAACCATTGCCCCTCCGGTGGATCACAACAAAGCAACGACATCTTGCACTACACACCCTTCCCCCTCCTCCTCTCCTCCCTCTCTTGTGCAAAAATCTCGTTTTGCT